TCTGATATATTCCTCCATCCGCCTTCCTCCATCCAAGCCTTAGATGGACGGAGACTGCGTGCGAATATATGGATCTCCTCGGTATGCATTTACGAGTGAATCTTCGTGCCACGAAGTGTGTAGCATTTTGGAGGGATCAGGATCACGAGTAGTGTAAGATGGCAAAAAGCCCCGTTACAGGATCACGGCATTTTAACACGTGAAGTACCACTGATCCGTAAACTGATCCTTTTGACGGATCAGAAGCTTGATCCAATATTTGATCTGGATCATAGGGTGATCCCTTGGGACCGAATGGATCACGGATCAAAAAATCTTCTCGATTCGTCTGAGAATTTCTCAACCCCTTGATCTTTGGATCACGGATCAAGTTTTTTCTCAAGAATCATAGATCAGGATCAAAAATGAGGTTCAAGCGAGATCCAGATCACAGATCACGGATCAGTATCAAAGTTCATGGATCGAGATCAACGGTCAAGGATCAGGATCAAAGATCACGGATCGAGGTCAAGAATCACAGATCTGACTCACGCATCTCGGATCACGAAAGATTTGGCTCAGACGTCAAGCTCAACGGGTGATCTGGATCATGTGCTTGATCCGTGGATCAGGATCCGCATACCGGCCAAGTGCGGGAATATATGTTTGGTCTCTTCAACTGCGCTCGTAAGTATTATGAAAATCCACATGATTTTGGGTAGAAGTGTAAGAAAACCAACGGCTATTTCCCGGAATTTCCTCACGTTTTCCATACACCTCGCAACACATGTAGTTGACCATGTGTATATATTCTCACACTGTGAACGAGAGTCTATCACATAGCGAGGAAACAATCGTCGGTTCAACGGGAATATTCACGATCTGCTTGGTGTTCAATCACGCTACAGCCCAATTGCATCATCATCGATGCACGAGCTGGTCACCTGTAAATCACCTACATGAACCTAGGATACTCCTAGTCTCTTTCGTTTTCATCCTCAACGTTTATCGCATTGCATGGCGTATCCCAACAAGGAACCCTTTCTCTCTCGATCTAATACCGTACATAACACTTCGAATCACCTTTGCCTATTCTGACTACATCATTCACAACGACAGCTATACTGTCATAGTCGCTAACAGCAACAACATGTTTACATCGAAGACCATCGCACACACTAATTCTCCTCCTCCTTATCCTTGAACACATCATCATCGAAAGCGGCCAGTGCCGATAACGTACTAGGCGTACTCGACACATCTCACGAATCATCCATAGTAGCCAAGTAGATAC